CCAGAATCTCTTGTGTATTATGATGTTTATTTTGGCTAATTAGTTTTGAGTTGTCACTGTCATTTATTTTTGATAAAATTTTGCCTGAGACACCTCTGTACATGTGTTATGAAGTAAATAGACCTGATTTTTTATTTTTTTTTACCTGTAGTGGTTTATTATTTGCAAGGACAGGATGACCTCTAGTGGTGGGAGCACTGGTCAGCGCTTTTGTATGCATTTGGCACCACTGTGAGGTGTGAGCAAGCAGGCAGAAGATCTAGGTATAGTCGGCCTCTGACTTGTATATGTAACAACCAGGGATGTGATTCCGGAATTCCGGATTTTCCGACCTGAAAATGTGATGATGCACGTGAATCATGCAGATCAGTCATTTTAAAAAAGAAGAAGGGGGGGGGGGGGGTACAGGACCTGATCTAGTGAAATGGAAAGTATCAAAGATGTTCGTTTACGCTCGGCTGCCAATTCCACACCTGCGCAGTGTGTACCACAGGCGCTCTCGCACATAGGTACATTTACATTTACTCATTTGGCAGACGCTTTTATCCAAAGCGACTTACATTTGAGGAACAACATACAAGCATCAACAGAGCATCAAATACAGATCTACAACTGACAAAACATACTAGTAATAGCAGCAATAAATACTAGTAAGAGCTCACAGTACATAACACTTAAATGGGGTAGATACCTAGGGAAGGAAGTAAGAGTTGCAATCAAAACAAAATGTGCAATCTATACAAGATCATTGTAGGGGATAGAAGAAGAAGAGCACAGGAAGTGCATGTTAAAGGTTAGGAGTTAGAGGTTAGAGGTGTTATAAGAGGAAGTGTTCTCGGAAGAGATGAGTTTTCAAGAGCTTCTTGAAGTTAGATGCTCTGATGGCTTGTGGTAGTAATAGCCCGCACGTAATGTGTTGGGCAGTAATAGGCCTACTGCAAAATTACTTTTCCCAGTAGAGAGTAATGTAACGGATTACTATTTCCAAAACAGTTGTATTATTACAGTTACTAATCCAAGTAACGGTGCGCTACTGAACGCACCATCCCTGACGTGAATGCGCGACCGCTCTGCAGCTCAGCGGCACCGGACTTTATGTTGTTAAAGTCAGCTGTTAGCCAAGAAGCTAAAAGACAACTGGAGAACAGGGAGAGAGGTATTTTCGACAGCTGTAAGTAACGTCATTGCCATTACTGTGTCACAGTCTAAGATGCAAAGAACATTGTCGTCCGTTGTAAACTTTGTGCGACCAGCAAAACGTTTTCAGCCGCGAACAATTCTACATTTATACTTAGGCTAATTGAAGCATCAGCTAATGCAACACAGCAACGTGAAACTCAGAGAGAAACTCCGTCCGCTGCTGCCAGTGATGCTTGGACTCATCGGGAGAGAGAGGCGTTATAATAGGCTATCACTCAGTAGTGGGTAGTAAAGTAGAGTAGCTAATATTACTTTTTTAAGGAGTAAGTCTATAGCCTATGCTAACTAACTAATAGGTAATATTATTTCTGAGTAACTTGTCCAAAACTGAGTTGACAATAAGGATCAGATAAATTGGGAATGATTTGATTATTGCTTGTTAGAGGCTATGTCTAATGTTTACTTTGACTTTGTTGTCTATTGATCACTCATGTAGCCTATTCACTTTGCTGTGTGAATGGTTGCTTTATAAGTCGTCCTTATGTTAAAGGATTTGGCATGTTATTAATTAATTTCTTGTGAATGGTTGTGACAAGGGTTAGGCTATATAAGGCCTTTTCACACGGGTCGCTCTGCGCTCCTCATCAACAGGCAGGCAGGCAAACAAGCGCTCTGCAAGGTAACCATGGCAACGGATTCTGTGTGACTGGCGCGATCCCGTTAAACTGTCGCGGTCGTTCTCGCTGCCAGAGTTGAAATGTCAAACTTTTTCCTACAGTTTCCAACAGATAGAGACTGATCAGCTGTATGAGTTTCCTGAAGAATTTAAGTGTTTCTTTAGCAGTCAGGCCACCAGGTCTTAAACAGGCAACAACCTTTGCTGCTGTCTCTGATTAAAATTCATCTATTAACTTCAACTGACCTAATTTGAAAGTTAGTAGTTACATTATTTAGTTATAGACTCAATTATTTCATGTTTTATGTTGCACATTTAGCTGTTGAAGCTGTTGAAGTGGTAAAAATGAATACAAATTAATAATTATTATAGAGAGGTTGCGATGTGCAGTGGATTAGACCCTTGTCTTTGATTCCCACTGCAACACATCCATTAAATAACTTATTGTATTGGGTGCTGCTTTACCTTTCAATGTTAGAGCCAACGCCAGTTTAATCAGGATGTCGGGTGGTCTCTGTATATTTTCCTGCTTTTTTGCCCTTTGCCAATCACATGCCAGAACAACATATGGAGTACTAGCATGTGGAATCTTGTAAAAGCCCGGAGCTTTATGTGTACTTGGTCTTCAGTGTATGTGCTGAAAGCCTTTAGTGTACAGTGCTTAACCGTGTGTGTGTGTGTGTGTGTGTGTGTGTGTGTGTGTGTGTGTTGTTTGTTTGTTTGTCAGTTATGAACCAGAGCTCCATCCTGCAGCCACGTACAGGATCAAAAATATCAAGGCTACTATACAAGTGTTCTCTACTGGCAGCATCACAGTTACAGGTACCACACATTTGTCTTGTCTACACACACTAACACCCACCGTCCTTTACATACAGCTAGACACAGCTTATTGGATTGAGGTCACATTGACATAATGCACTTTTATAGTCCAGTACAAACAGAAAAGTTTTCAAGGAATTTTACTCTAAAGTGACATAGTTAATGTAAGTTAAGTTTGTCATGCCATGAATTAGGCTGAACTTTACCCAAATAAGGAATAAATGAAATGTTTCACTCTTTTTCTGTCACCCATTTATGTTTTGACCAGTCTCCCTCTGTCGTGATGGTATCTGCGAGTCTCTATTTGTCTGTATGTGGGGTTTATTGCTTTTTCAGTTACTGTACTCATAACTTGTTCTTATGCTTCCAACCCATCCCACACTACCCTCTATCCCTAATGTCAGGACCAAATGTACAGAATGTGGCTACAGCTGTTGAGCAGGTCTACCCACTGCTGTTCGAGTGTCGGAAACCCCTCTGCAAATAAAAGCAAAAGGTTCATGACAGAAGAAAAGGAAAGAGCAGGCATGTTGTGGGGAAGCACCATATCCTAGGATTTGCTTGATTTTTATCATTACATGGCAACAGCCACAAACTTATAACACAATCAAAGGACTGGATGTCACCTGGATCTTTCAAAATTCTCAGCCCTAGTTAGTCTTAAAATTTCCCCCTCACAAAATGTCATTATTGTTGTGGATTGTTTGGCTCTTGTGATTTTAACAGCCTAAACGTGCAAGTATGTTTTTCAAACTTCAAATCCTTCAGCGGAAACTGCTCCTCCAAATCTAACTGATACTGAATGGAGCGTGGAAGTTATTTGCTTTTGCTTTTTTTTTTTGTTGCTCTGGTCATTTTTGCATGGACACAGAAAGAAAACTTTTTCAGCAGTCTAAACATTTGAATGATTAACAGTGGTGACATTGTGAAGAGTCAGTATGATAACACTGAGAAGCCTCACCTTTAAACACTCTGTATACAACAAGTCGTCCCATTTGCCACATCCTCTGGAAGAATCTCCGTCCAAGGCTCGTTTTTAGATGCATTAACACAAATACGAGGCATCCCATCCACTCTGTTTCCCGTAATTTTGCCAAAAACAGCAGTCAAACCATAGACTGAGTCTGGACTGTTACACATGTACACAATTTAAGAGCGGGCCCTATGCACAATATGCACTCATCTCTGATTTTAATTTTTAATTGTTGGTTTCTCACATTTCCTTTGTTGGATTGTCAGTTCACTATTAAATTGTTTTCGTTTCTCCGCTGTGGCATTGAATCAGAATGCACACATTGTGATTTACTTAATTGTTGTTTCCTAATAATAGTTTTAAACACTAGTCAAAATTGCAAATATTTCATTGTGTTTTCTAGGCTCGGGCAATGTACACAACAAGACTGATGTCCAAAATGTTTTAGAATGCAAAGAAAAATTTTAAAAGGTTCTGGTATATTTTGGTTTTGAGGTGGTGAGTTATTGAGCCATAGACACCCCCGCTCCCCCCCCCATCTGCTTTCATAGAACACAGCTTCTGGTTAGTCCCAGGCTATAGTGGTACTGAGGAAAGGCGAGACATTTTAAGTGGGCAAAAGAATTAAAAGTTATTAAAACACTGACAAGAACTGGTCTTGGAACTTGCTGTAAAGACACAGGACAAAGTGACAGAAACTCATGGAGAAAGTTGATTGTAATTGTAAGTAAATAACTAAATAATTACAAAAGCAGCCACTAAGTTACAGCAGTGCAACGTTGTCTGGCAGTCAGCTTAGTACTGTCAGCCAGCAAGAGGTTTGGCAATACATCCATGTGAGATTTTGAAGCAACACAAGACCATGAACAGTGTTCAGAGAGGCCATGCTTACAACAGTAGCCAGTACCTGAATTGTCCGAATAACAAACATAGAATACCGTTCTCTTAAATAACAAAAAACAATGGTGAGAGGTAAAGTTTTTAAGTGTGAACTGAAAACCTAGTGAGAGGCAATGTGGTATACGTATATATATATAATAAAGGCATCTGATGAAAAAATGTTGACGAAAACGTAGGCGCGTTGTCTCAAGTTGTTGGATTTTTTGAATCAGTGTCAACTGAAGATTTGTGACGCTTGTTCAGAATTTTGTATTTTGTATAAAAATAAAGGTTAATGGTAAACAAGGCCACCACAGGACTACTGTTTAATGTGTGTTTCACTCTCATTTTCATTGTGTCCTTCATTTTCATATGTGCAGGTCTTGATTACAGGTGGAGTGGAGCAGTTTCTATGGAATAGCCCATAAAATGGTTCTCAAGACTTTTAGTGCGACTTTTTCAAATTCATTTCTAAATTTTGTAACTTGACAAAAAAGATAAGGATATGTATTTAAGTATAAGTAATTTTAATTGTGAACAGGTCCACATAACCCATTCTTTCTTGCAGTAAAACATCCCACTTATTAATCAACTAAGTATAATTTTGGCATTACTGACATAAGTAAAAACATTACCAGTAGACCTCGAGTTGAGCTTTTTTGCTTCATTGCTTGTTTTTGAGGATTCAGCAATCAAGCACACTGCAGCTGAATGTTGATTCAGTATCATTTTCTTGTTGGCCTGTTCCCATAAAATGCAAAGGAGGAGACAACTGTGACCGTCCATAGTTTTTGTCGATTATAGTGTGCCAAAACTGGTATGACTGGTGCGTCTGGTTTGAGCCGTATTAGTCTTTACATTAAACAATGAAACATTTGAAGTGATTAGGTGGATTTTTCTGTTTTCTAGTTCATCGTTGATTTCCCTGTGATCACCCAAGACAGATTTTTTTGTAAATGTTCATCACAATATCAGGTCAAAATGGAAAAGACTGTAGTGGTCATTCAAGGGGCGTCATTGGTTTTACTGGCTGGTGGGGAGTCAATTTTATACTGGAGTTAAGAGAACATGTTCCTTTCTGCTTTATTGTAGTTGTATTCTTAAATATAGAAGGGGTAAAGAAGCAAGGAATTAAATAAATATATATTTTTTATATAATCACATTTTCAAACCCCATTGTTGACCTTTCTTTACTTCCCTTTAACCAGCAAGAGCAAACCCTGAACTATCCCAATTTGGGCAAAATCACAAATACCTCTCCATTTTTTAATACTTGACCTTTCCTGTTGTTTTCATCCTTCACATACAGTGTATAGCTAAAACCAACTATATGACAGAGACAGTATTATAGGAATCAGCTGGATCTGCAGGGATGTACACATGTGGGTGAGATGTAGAAGTTGTACCCAAAATTCTTAATTGCTAATTTATTGTCCTCGTTGCTGCTCCTTCAGCTGAGGTGTACAGTTGTGGTCTGTTAAAAGGGTCAGACGTTTGCTGGACTCTCTGCGGACATGCTGCTGATCAGGCTCTCCTGAGGCTGAACCTGTCTATAGAGCCTCACCTCAAAAGGCTTCCTGGCAAAGCAGAGAAAGCACAGACGGAAGACAGAGAAATTCAGAAACTAGCTTACTAGTTAAACTGAGGACATTGATTTGTGTGTAAAACTCACTTCTTCGCCAGTTCTTTTGATATCTCCTCTAGCGTGCGACCTTTGGTCTCAGGGATACAGAGGATGACAAACACCAAGAGAACAAAGCTCATGGCAGAGTAGAGGAACATCACGTTGGGAACACCAATCTTTTCTAGAAAAACAACAGTTAAAAAATACGTATCCTCAAACCTTAGTCAGCACACTTGTTTGTTGTTTTGCTTGCTTTAACCTTGCTCTGCTACAGTTGTGATGACGTTTAGATGTACTCGACAGACAAAAGGTATGTCTATGACTTTCAGTTGCTGCTAAACCCTAAAGAATGGTGCATTTCAAAGATTGCAAATTTGAATAGTGACTGAACTGATTTCGGCGCAATGTTTTTGTTTCGCTAAATCCTACAGTATTATAACCCCATGACGGGTGGCCGGTCTAACTAACCAATAGTAGAAGGTGAGACACAAGCCACCTCTTTCAGGAAGTTAAATGTGTTTTGTGAAATATCTGGTTATAAACAGTGAGTTTGCTGCTTACTGTTACAAACTTTACACACATTCATCCTTGCCTGTCCTGGACAAAAGGTAAAAATACAATGTGAAATGTGTAAAGCTGTGCCACAGTTAAAATGTGTGTCTACTTGTAATTACTGTTTGCAGAACAGAAATAAATAACAAAGTTTTAAGGCCGCTTCTGTAAAATCATAGCTCTACCACAACTAGCTTGAACCTACAATTTAATCAATTATAACCACATACGCACCTGTAAATGTGAGGAAGGTTACTGAGATAAGCAGGTTTGTGGCCCAGTTTACAGCTGACACCACGGACACGGCCCTGCCTCTGACTCCCATTGGAAAGATCTCACTGAGAACCACGTACACCACTGGAAAGGAAAGAAAGACACAATTACCGCGACAAAAAGGGGGCATGAATACAAATTACATGATGTAGAATAGCTTTTTACAATTTTGATATTTGACAATTTTGTGTGGGGAGTTAAAAGCCATGTTTAAAGCTTTAAAGCCACGCTGCTTTATCTGGGGCGCTTCAACCAAACCTTACCTAAGCCTAGTTATTGTGTGATAACCATTGTTGTACTTCGTACTTACAAGCTGCAGCCCGTGAGTGAATATGGATCATAGCGGCTGTTTTATATTGCAGACAGAGCAGAAATGGCCTGGTGTATTTGGGCAAAATGCCAAAGCATGAAAGTCAAATGTGGGCACACTGAAATGCACATATGCAATCTGTCATTTAGAGATAAATGGCCTGAGGGTGTCCTGAAGATAAAATACAGTGTAGGTGACCAGTTACTGGTTCATTTTCATTTGTGTGTGTGTGGATGTGTGTGAGTGTGTAAAGGGAGTGAGCAAATAATAATATGAATGAATGGGTGCTTACTTGGTCCGAGGCTAATGGAGAAGGCTGCCACATACACCAGCAAGCTGATCAGTGATGCCAACTTCAGTGAGGAAGACACTTCTACATTAGTCTCTCCTCCCCCCTGCTCCTCTTTCCCATCCTCCTCACTGTTCCATTGGTTGGGGAGGTGAGTAGTAAAAATGTCACTGTCCAAGTCTGTGATGGTTGTGTTTACATCCCACGGCGTATCTGTGTGGTTTATTATAGTCTGGCTTCTACACAGGCTGGTGAGGTGAGTGTGGCTTTGCAGTGTCAGTATACCAAGTGCTGCTAACGACATTCCCATTGCGACGGCGCCCACACACAAAAAGCTCTTGGGTCCCACGCGGTCGACCAGCAACACGGCCGGAATGGTGCCAATTACTTTGACTACTCCGAACCCCGTGGAGGCCAAGGTTGCTGCGGAGTCACTGTTGAAGCCTACACTGCGGAGAAGTGGTGAAGCGTAGGAGAGGATGTTGGGCTGACCGGTAACCTGCTGAAGGAAGACTAGGGCAACGCCTGTTAGCAGCCGTGACCGTAAGTTGGCCTTGGCACTGAACAACTCCCAGAAACTATGCTCTGATTCCTCTTTAAGTCCTGTCTGGATGTCTCTGAGCTCCAATTCCACTTGCTCCTGAACCCCACCTCTCATTTTGGTCAGCACTATCCTGGCCTGTTCCACTTTACCCCTGGCAACAAGGAAGCGTGGGCTGGGTGGGAGAAACAAGAGTACACTGATCTGCAGCAGCGCAGGGGGGATTACTAGTCCAAATGTATACGCCCAGCCGTGGGGCAAAGTAGCAAAGGCGTAACTGCAGCTGAATCCCAGCATTACACCCACAACCAACATCAGCTCGTACAGCGTCACCAGCAGACCCCTCCTCTCCCTCGGTGAGATCTCTGCAATGTACAGACACGCTCCTGTCCCTGACAGCGCCGTTCCCATGCCAACTATGACCCGACCCAGTGTGAGTGCAACAAGTGAGGTGACGGCGATGAGCACGACACTCCCTCCGACCACCAGGCCAGCACTAAGGAGCAAAGAGCAGCGGCGGCCGTAGCGATCCAGAATGGGACCTCCGGCCAGGCACATCAGGAGAGCGCCGAGCAGGTGGGAGCTGACCAGCAGTTCCTGTTCCCTGCAGGAGAGGGAGAGGAGGTCCCGCAGCTGCAGCAGGACTCCAGAGGTCAGGCCCATTTCGTAGCCCAGCATAAGGCCGCTCAGCGAGGCCGCTACAGCCGCTACCACCACCAGCCAGCTGCAGCCTGGAGAGAGGGAAACAGAAAGAGAGTCAGAGAATATACTATAAGAAAACAGCTGCACAAAAAAGTCCTGGTCCCATTGTTCTCGGCCCCAGGCAACGTGATTTCACAAAGTCCCATTCCTGACACAGTATTTGGAGACTTTGCACCCGTCTATACTCAGGCTTATGCTGGTCACGCAGTTTAAGATTGTAAGGTTCAGGTATTGGACCAAAGACAGATAATGTATTTCTACTTGACACACCACAGCCTAAGAAGTAAGAAAAAAGTAGACTTTGTTTTTTGTAAATCAAAGTATTACATATTGTCATGTGAGTTAAATCTAATGTTTTCTCATCCAAACACATGGCTCGTGCATCGTTACAGCCAGTATATTTCTCTCCTATTGAGCCATTTGTCGTCCTCATTTTTCAGTGTTTTCAAACATGTAATCTTTATATCGGTTAGTCCCAATATATGCAGATGGTCTCATGTGCAGTTGCTGTAATCAGGTTAAGAACACGACAATCTCACCAAAATCAGGATTGTCAGACAGCAGTAGGTTGTCAATGAAAAGGATACAAAGTATAACATTGCATCCATTCCGTGTCATAGCAAGTAACAAACCTTCAGTCAGTGAAATGAGTTACAGTAAAAATGAGTCTGATTTAAATCTCCTATCAAAAGAGGTGTTGTACAAACAAGAATAACATTGGATGGATGAGATAGAAAATCAACTTCATTCTGTGTTTGGGTGTGGGGCACTGGTTTTGGAGTAAAAAGCAGACACTAGTACATGGGGAAATGACCATTCCACAAAGGACAAATGCAAAAACTTAATCATTACTGTAGGGCTGACCCCCAATAGTCGAAAATTCGATGCTTCGATGGGCTTCGCATCGAAACAAGGATCATGTCATTTTGGCAATATGGGGGTGCTCAACGTCTGATTTTATATAAAACTACCAGTTTTCTCCCAATAAGTTAATATACAGTCTATTACAATATACATTTCAACATTTAATGCTGTAAATTTGAAAAAGTTTGAAAAGAAAAAAAGCTTTTAATAAATGTTTTTAAAGTGCGTGAATAAATCCAGAATTGTAACCCTAACCCTCAAGGCAGGGGCCATCAGTGCGCATGAGTAGGCATAGCTGTGTGTGTGTGTGAGTGTGTAGTGGCAGAAGAGGAACTTGCTGTGGAGACGGAGCCTTAACTTCACCGTTGTTCTGCAGAGTTGTCCGCACCTCGCAGGACGTTCGGATCATTTATCACCATTGATGAACCACACAAAGAATATTACATCGTTTTAAATAGGACTAGAAATAGACCCGTGAGAAACCACGATGTGCATGCAGCTGTCGGCTGCACGGCATGCATGCAAAACTCTTCACAAGACCGGTGAATGATAGGCGAGCAGAGAGAAAAGGGTCAACAATAAGACTTGGTTTAGCTGGAAATGTACAGTGTAAGTTACAGTGACTAATGAACAGAGACTACAGCTCTGGAGCTTGTCACGATTAAAGCGGAGCTACCGTGTGTTCCCTCCGCCCCCAATCGCCGCACACAAACACAGCACATGATTCAACTATGTAAATCCTTAGTCGGGGACAGCCCTACATTACTGATATATGCTGCTCTTATATGCTGCTCTTGTATTGACCCAAAGAGTTAAAATCCTGTTCACAATTGTTAGCAAGTAAAAATGTTTTATTTTTTTAAAATGTCCACAAACATACAGAAACAATTTTGCCTCAGTAAATATTTAATGCAAGGCAACAGATTAAATATGTGTCCAATGAAGCCAGCTCTTCAAATCATAACAAAGATAAAGAAGAAAGTTAACTGGATAAATGAACTGGATGTTTGTTAAGATTCACATGCAGTTAGGTTTGTGATGAGTGTCACATTTTTGGTATTTAGCCAAGGTCAGAGTGACAAACAACTCTTGGATTCATCATTAATCAGCGTTTGAAGAAGAGGCCAAAGAAGTTCAACACGATGCAAATTACATTTGCTGAATGACCTACAGGAGGTAGGTGGTCATGTTCTTGGAAATGCATATATGGACCACTCTGGAAGCAGGACCTTTATATCAGTCCAAGTTCCAGATTTGCACGGGGTCTGTTAACCATATCTAGATAACTTATTTAAACTGCTTCTTGGAACTAGCTCCAGGTTAAAAATATTGATTTTTCAGAATAATCAAGTCTTAGCCTCAAGTGTTTATGGAGGCTCAGTGGTGAAAGCCACATAAAGCAAGCTGTAGGGCGGAGCACATTTAATCTGAATTCAGCAAGCACACCTTCAATAAACATCACAATTAACATGCCTATGGCTTAGACCTGTCTTTAAAATGTTATTTTATCTATTTAAAATACCACTGGTATCTGTGTGTACCTGGGCCTCTGGGTGGGGCCAGCTTCTGGGTCTCAGAGGAGGGGTTACAGGGGAGGTAGATGGTCATCTTCTTGATCTCACTGTTGGGGTCCATCGTCAAACGCCTCTAACAGTAGGCCTAGGCAAAAGAGATACAAACCAACACATTCAAACTGCAACATGACTTACATTGAGAAATACAAACACATTTGTCTACAAAACCCTTTTTTTATTTTCACAAAAGAAGCCAAATGTTATTAGTAGTCGACTGATATGGGTTTTTCAATGGCCGAGGTTGATGCTGGCATTTAGCGAGCAGGGCGGCCGACTGCCAATATATAATGCCAATATCAAAGAAATATAATGTAAAATTTCATTACTCCGTGCACAGCACAATCTAATATACATGCTTATCTTAGCGAGTAACATGTTGATTTAGATGGAATATAAATTAATTAATAAAACAGAAAAATACATTGGGTTTTGCTGTAGATTTCAGAACATGACTGCTGTTTTTAGGGAGAGTGGGGTTCAGTTTGTCAGAAGTGACATCATTCAACTGCATTATTCTCTACAGTATACCATCCATCCATCCATCCATCTTCATCCGCTTATCCGGGATCGGGTTGCGGGTACAGTATACCAATATATATTTAACGCTAGCTAGTAATGGTTTTAGATTAACGTGCTGTAATTTTTTTACTTACATTTACTCATTTGGCAGATACTTTTATCCATTTGAGGAACAATATACAAGCATCAATAAAGAATCAATACAGTAAGAGATCTACAAGTTAGGATAATATCTCACCCTCATGAGTGCAGGTACTGGCTGATGATTGTATTGGCCTATACAATAACTTCACCTTAAAAATAGTCTAAAGTCAGACAAAACATGGGTTTCAATCAAGAACTATCTGATCAAAACAAGTAAACAAGATTACAAATCTGTGCAGACATTTAATGCCACCTCTCGGTATATGACAACCTTCCATAGATGGCAGTGATGAAAAGGACTGAGGTTTGATACGAGCCCTCCCCCGTGGAAGAAGTTTCAATTCATTCTTGTGCAACTGCATGTCCTTTGGCTCTGAATATAGGAACATCAATGAGGGAACAGTGTGCTGCTCACATTTGATTCAGAAAATCAGTCCCATTTGTTCATAAAATGCCTTTTTAAGCATACTAAATACTTTATACCCTAAACTTAGACTAACCACCATACCCAACAAGTAAGCCATCATTCGCTGTCTCCAAAATACAGATTAAACCAATCCTGGTGCTGGGATAAAGATGGACATTTTAACCATCATCAGACCAGTTCCCCTGGATACAATGGCAGTGGCTTCCAAAGAAATCCCTGTCATAAATACCATCTCTATGAAGCTCACAATGGACAGCTTCAGCTGTTTCTGTGAGATGATGATTGAATTACTTGCTAAGACTGTAATTCTGTAGTGTGTAGTGTTTGTGGAGCTTTGACCTTTAACCTCACTTTACAGATTTTTTATTTTGTTGCCTGTCCTGGACATAAGTGGTTTTGGGAGACTGTTCCCCAGTCGTCCCAATAAGTGCACTTGCCATAACATCTTATGGTTGTCATAATTAATAAGTGTGTAATAACTGAGACTACTGAATGAGACGCCTTCCTTTTCTATGTGTGTTTTCTGTTTGTCTGTCCCATCAAAGTCCTCAACTTGAGCTAAAACGTGGCATGGTCATTTCGTGGAAGCCAGAAACCATAGACCACCAAGGAAAACACAACGTCTAAACAGCAAAAGCCAAAGTTAGTTGCTTTTTTAAAAAACAATGACTTCAAGTACGGGCTCGTCCACTGGGTGAATGCAAAGTATGCGTGTTTCGCTACATGAAAAGGCTCAGTAAACAAGTATTTAACTTGTAATAAAAGCTATATCCAGTGACACTTCCCTACCTGACGCCCCAGCTGTGTCTCCGGTGTTTGCTTAAATTGGTGTGGCCTGACCCATTCGTTTTCTCCTGCAGACTTTTCCTTTGCTCCCAACTCTTCTTTCGCTGTGTCGGCGCGCGCACGCAGCTTGTTTTGGTAACGCACTTCTTTAGCCCCGCCCATGTCCGCCCAGACCACCAATAGGAAACGTGGATTCTGCCTGAGAACGCTCAATGTCATCCTATTGGTCCAAACGTGTCTGTCAGGTGGTGTTGTGTGTTCCTTTGCACTAATGTGTCTGGTAAGGTCTAAAGAGTCACTAATGAGCTTTTATTTCTCTGTGCTGTTTTTAAAAAATTATATTCCAGCTGCAATTACAGGTTATTGTGATTCTCTGTTGTGATCATCACTATAAAGGTACCAGAAATAGAACACACCTGTATCAATAATTTATCTCATATTGCATATGAAAACAAACGGGGAGGCCACCTGTTGTTTCGCTCAGTTCCAGTGTCCCGTCTCTACGATTGCAGCAGGACTGAGCTGTCAGACCTGCCCTGCTGCTTCACACATGACCGAATGTGGCTTCGTGTGCCGGTTAGGCTCTGTATGTGCTTGGCCTACTTTTCCAGTGTTGGATTATTATAGGATCCAAAGTTTGACCTGTTTTAACCACTGTCATTTGAACCTCAGTGTGCATGTCTGCGTGTGTATGTGTGGGCGCGCTGCGTACACGTGTCTTATGTAATAACTAGACAGATTGGCTCTTACAATGTCAGCAAATAATCACGTGATTATTAGATTATTATATTATCATTTGGCGGGGTACCTTTGGATAGTCACAGGTGTCTTATCTAGGTTTAGTCCTGGGGCTTAGATACCATATTGGAATGCTGTTTTAACAATCAAAACCCGATAGCATAACTCAGCACATAGCCGAGTCAAACAAACTGTTAATTCAAGACAGTCATTTGATTGAAGGTCTACTCTGACCAACTAAGTTACCTGAAAAGTCACTTTTAGGATGAACGAGAGACGGCTTACTCACCCAGTAGAAAAATACTTAATGTTGGTTCCTGCATATGAAAACAAATTAATGTTTGTTTTGATTTGAAGTGGCTGAAGTATCCAGATCCTATATGAGTAGGAAGACAGCAGCATAGTGTAAAAATACTCCATTACCATTACAAGAGTCCTGTATTCAAAATTATACTGTTAACATTATATTAAGCAAGGTTTTTACAGGTGATTTAAAAAACAATCTGTTGCTATTGTCATTATAATTAAGCAATGAAGAGATTAACTGTAATTTTTGGCAATATTGTTGTTACACATTCATGCCAATAAAGCTAATTTGAATTTGATTTGTGATGTATCACTTTACTTGAGGGGGCACAAAAAGAATTACTAATCATTAAGTAATTAGTAATTAATAGTTTTAACCTTAGAGTTATCTTATACTTTTTTATTTAAAAATGATTAATCAACAACTTGACACTTGCCCCCTTTTCATTACTTTCTCCCAAAATGACAAAGAGAGAGAGAGAAAAAAATATTCTGTTTCAGCGATCTGCTTGTGAGTATAGAGTGACTTCTGCAGTTGAAATCAAAAAATTCAAACTGTATAATAAATGCATCTGGATCCATTCAGATTCAGGTTATGTTTCCAAATGTAAAAAGGCTCAGTTTGCTAGCACCTGTAAGGTTTATGACTAATGTCTTGTGTCAACGACTTTCCTCACATGGCATGTTGAATTAAACATTGTCTAGAAATTACACAATATTTATGACATGTGTATAATCCCATATTAAAGAAGTGGTTTTGCACTGTCGGCAAAGCTGATGCCTTAGTGCATGTATGTAGTGAACAGACCTCTGATAAACTGAGTGTGAGTAACCACTACATTTACATTGATTAATTTAGCTGATGCTTTATCCAAAGCTACTTACAATTGCTATACATGTCAGAGGTCTCACATTGGAGCAGCTAGGGTTAATTGTCTTGCTCAGGAACACAATGGTGGACAGTGTGGGGGATTGAACCCAGGTCTCTCTCACACCAAAGGCATAGTCTTATCTATTGCGCCATTACCACCCCCACTACTCTTACCACCCTCATAAAAAACATTATAAAAAGTGATAAAATGGTAATAATGTCCGTTCCTAATGAAAGACATGGATTCATCCGCTCCATGCTTCTCATCTCGCTCTCCTGCCTCTACTTTTACTGTTCTGTCTGTTTCTATCATCCTTGAAGATTTACCATTCCTCACTGTGTACACCTCAGTGAACCATGTCCATTAAAACATTGTTCAGGCCACCAACAAACTCAAGCACTGTGTCTTTAATGTCATATGTGCTGCCCACCTGAGTTTTGGCAAACACAAAGGGTTTACTTTCAGTTCAAGGCTTAGCCAGCAGATGGCAGTGCAGGACTTTGGCTGCTAAGCAGTTCTGGAAAATGTCTTCAGCCCAAAACAATTTTACAAAGACAGAGCTATTACAGTTTTTCCTCATTCACAGTACATTTCTCAGATCAGAATTGAAATTCTCATCATAAAAGCAATTTCTCATAGTTTTGAACAAATTGCAAATGCTTTGACACATTGAAGCAAATAATTATGTACAATTGTCTGCTGTTTCCTACAATATAAATTGGTTATGTCATGCTGATCACAATGAATTATACTGGTTTTCTGTTGAATAGTCTTACCCCCCAAAACTTTTAGTCAAGTTCTTTGCATAAGTCACTACATGCGAAATGGCTGAACACGTTGTCAAAGTTGAATAAAGTCAATCTTTATTGTTCATTCTTCACATTCAAGTATATAGCTAAACAAAATGTTGTTTTGTACAGACCATGGTGCATAAACAAAATAAGAACAGACAACAACAAATCACAACATCCTACAGTAGCAACACAGCCCTCACACCATTCACCCGATACACACAATACCATACACAGTGAACAGTAAAAATACACAGTGAGCAGTGAATAGTGCAATACATATAATATACACCAGTAGATGAATATACTTATTTATTTATCTATATCTGTCAATCATATTTTCTACACGTCTATTAGACTTTTTTTTGGTAAGTGTCTCCTTACTGTAATTGATGAAGATAGCCATTGTGATGTGGATAAGAATCTGTGACCTGACAGACAGGTACATCAGCCTAAGGAGTGTTTTACATGCTTACATTTCTAATTTTGTAATTCCGTTGTACTATGCTGTGCTGTAATACAGTCCTTTCTTTTTCTTTTTCTGCATCACAATGACATGGTCTGTCAACAAATTGTATTTGTTGTATGAACAGTGAAAACGTAACTGTGAATCCGGTCCAATCTTTTGCAATGTATAACTTTATACTGTTGAAAATGATATGACAATTTGAAAAAGTGCAGCCTTGTGCATTTTCAATCATTGTCATCAAAACGTTAGCCATAGTTTACATCAGAAAACACTTATATTGATATTGTTATATTGATAACATGACTAAACATTTTGACTATCTTGTTCATAAACAATGACACAATGACTTGTCATTCTGATGGCACTGACATGTTCAATGACATAAAGATTTCCTTTTGAGAGATAGACTAAGGATTTTGAGAAAGTTACGGGCTTTTGCAGGTAATCCACTGTGTTATGCTCTTTGTTCAATATGTTTCGAGAAATGCACTTACCGTTTTGCAAATGTTAGGGATGATTCGAGAAATGTACCAAAGTGAGTGAGAAAAACTGTAAGAACAGCTGAGCTAACAGTACACAGTACTCTGATAGTACTCAAAATATTTCACACTGTCACATTTTCTCCACACCTAGCAGCTTTTTTTGGTGCCTTTATTATGGTTGGCACAAAATAAATAACTGTTTTCGCTCTCTGAAAGACCAATGGACAATAATGAGGAAGACGATGATAATAAAAACTACTGTGACAGTGGTTAAGTGTTTAAGTAATAACAGTGCATACATAAAAAGGGTGCAGTGGAAGGTAGTGATTTGAATAGGCTGTAATATCAGTTATAACACATGCCTATCATTTTAGATAAAGAGCTGCTCCAAAAGATGTTCTCAGGATTTTCTGGAAAAACCCTGATGTTCTATAGTGACTTCTAACTAAATAAAACATTTTACTCAATTATATATCTGTTGATAAACCTTGTGTGGACATTGTAAAACTGGGTTCACTGAATTTCCAAGCAACTTCTCAGACCAACAAAGTCAAATGGTTGACTGGACAAGTCAAGTCAAGTTAAGGGTTTTATAGCTTTCTGCCGGGACACCCTTCCCACAGTCCTCTTATAATGTAAATCTTTGACTTTCCCCTCTTTCCAGGAAGTTAGAGGTCAGAGGTCACCTACACAATAACTCCTTAAAGACACTCACTAAAGATACTGTTACCCATGGACACAACCTTGAACTCCAGTAGGACTGTCTGGCTCATCAACACACCATCCTGCTGTAATCTTATTGAAAGCACAGTATTTTATTTACATTATTCCTGCTTGAATTGTCATTCATGCAATGCAGCTTTTGTATCAAAATCAATGCTCAAATTATTGCTCAGGTGCAATATTAAGCTGCTCTGCTGAATTGGGTTCATGAATATCTTTTGACCTGTAGTGGCCTAATTAGTCAATAATTTGCCTGCAAACAGATTCTCACACACACACACTTGGATGTGACCATCATTGTTGTGTAAGCTTGCTGAATCATGGAGGGAGGTAAAGTCCGCTCTACAGTGGGACTTCTGGCAGTGGTCAATAGATCAAGACCCTTCCAGGTAGGGCTAATGTTTACCATTTGACAAGATACTGTAAAAATGATTTGTATATTTTAAAAGGAAAGTCCATAAATTGAAGCCACTTCATGCACATGCAGTCAATTTATCAAGCATTAAAAAACAAGGTTATAAGGTATAATAAAGTTAAACTTTTATTGCAAACAAACATACTCACATAAATCAATTTTACAATTTACAGTACATTTAACATGAATTGTTACATATATATTTAAGCATACCTTTAGTCATTTTTTTATTCAATATACATTAAAACTAATACACGACTCCAAATATACAAACAAACTTAAATACCGTCAAACTGCATTACAGCAATATTAAAATGGAATGTTCAGTTTCTATGTTGTCGGCCCAGCTGAAGGCCGTCGTTTCATTATTGTGAGGCCAATGGAAGACTATATGAGGGGGACGCTTTGGCAAGCAGGACTACACAAACATGTCTGAACACATCACTGTCTTTCTCACCTAGCAGCAGTGCTCTCTCTCTCTCTCTCTCTCTCTCTCTCTCTCTCTGCATTACCATCAATTGTTTTCTGTGCAAATGAAGGTATGAAACATCCTTTGAGTTCCTGCGTCTCGCGTGTTAAAGATAGACAGGTGTATTAATTTAGTGCTACATCATTCCTCTCTGGTGACAGCTCCTCCCACCTGCGGTCAGGTGTGGAGTGGACGAAGCGCTGTGACATTAAGAATGACACAGGCAAACCCAAAAGATGTGAATTTTGATGGAGAGAAAACAAAGTAAAGGCACATTTGAGAAAAAAAAAACACACATAAAAACATCCCCCTCTGTAACATTCAGCTTCAAATGACTCCCTTTTCAAACACACAGAAAGCAAATGATAAGAAACTAAAAGCACCAAAATGAATGTCATCTCCAACCTACTCATTTAAATACAACAGGTAGGTCCCCATGGGTGGTCAGACAGAATCTCATGAGAGAAGACGTCTCGCTACAGAGGTGTGGAGAGAGGTGGAAATCATTATTAGGGCTTATACAGTACGTTCCAGCAATCCTCTTTTGAGAAAAGGTGGAAATTGATGTGTATGTGCTTGTCAGTTGTGGCCTCAGGGTCGAGGTGGGCTTTTAAGCTGCCTGAGCTATGTGCAAAGGACCTCCACTAATGGGTAAGAGATGGGCAATTGAAGGCTGCAGAGCATTTGTGTCTGTTGTGGTTGAAGAATTTGTGCGTTGGTAAATCAGGGTAAGGTGGAGGATTACAACCCCATTCAGTCATTTAATTATGGCAGGTATCCTCTTGTAGCAAGTCTTCTTAAATGCATTCAAGAGTAGGAGAGATCATGGCAAGTACACGTGTAAATTAATTGCAGATGCAGAGTCGTTGCAGGGTTTGGTTCAGAAATATCCACCATCCTGATGGGAAATGTAAGGTGGGGTCAAGATGCAAGTCCATGGACACGCTACAGTTCATGTCCTGTGAGTCTGAATTGGTGTCCATATTGACTGCCTGTGTTTAAATCCTATAGGTAAGAGTCCATTGATGGGGCGTAGGAGAAGCCCACGAAGGCCTCGGCAGCCTCTTTGATGCTGGCCGTGACGAGCGCGCTGTCTGGGGAACAGCCAATTGAGCTGGGTACTGGCTCATCTGTGAACTCTGGATCAAAGTGCCGCAGGTCGTTGGGTCCCGTCTGCAGGGGAGGAGGGAGGGAAGGAGAGGGGGAGACAACAAGGGATTAGTCACGCTGTAAAATACCATGCCATAATTGGAAACGTTTTAATTCGCAGCGAAGATGCCCTGTGCTCCTGATACAGTTATGTTAATGTAAATTCTGAGGACTAAGAAGAAGTCTATGGTAGATCTGCCATCATCAGCACTTATTGGAGCATTAAAAAGGAACTTACCACGTTGGGGTTGAAGGGAGGGGTGATCTTCTTTGCATTGAGGTCATCCCAGTTGATGGGGGAGAAGAATATGTGGTTCTTAATTTCAATCTGTGAAGAGACAGAAATAACAAATAATTACATGATGTCCTTTAACAAAAACAACATGTATAAATACACACACACACACACACACACACACACACACACGACCAAACACTTACAAAGTCCTCAGTGCAGCCCAGCCTCTTAGTGCGGTCCTTCTGCAGCAGGCCCTCCAGCAGGTGCCTGGCTGCGTTGGAAATGTTGGGTTTCAGCTGCAGTGGCTTGTTCAGGATGTTGTCGTACATCTCCGCTGTGTTACGGCTGTAGAACGGAGGCTGGGGGAGGGACAAAAAGAACTGATTAGCATCTTGGCAACAACAAGGAGCAAGGCATCCACATGACCAACACTGATTGTATCATTGTAAATCTTGCATAAACTCAGTAGTATAGTACATATTTGTCATACTTAGAATATATATGTTACTCACCAAGCCATACAGCATCTCATAGAGAACAGCTCCTAAGCACCACCAGTCTACTGTCCTGTCATACGGCTGCTTGTGTAGAACCTCAGGAGCTAAATACTGAGAGAAGAAAACAGGGAGAAGTGGTAAGTCACTGAATATTTCAGAGTGCTGTCTTAACACAAAAACAAGTTAGCTCTGAATCACCAGATATTTTGTCCTTACCTCCGGCGTACCGCAGAAGGTCGATGTCGTCCCGTTGGGTTCAATGTTCTCCTTGCACAGGCCGAAATCTGTAAGAATGATGTGTCCCTGTGAGTCCAGCAGGATGTTCTCCGGCTTCAGGTCTCTGTAGACAATGTTGAGGGAGTGGAGGTAGCCCAGTGCGCTGGCGATCTCTGCTGCGTAGAACCTTGCTCTGGGTTCGAGGAAGCAGCGCTCTCTCTGTAGGTGGTAGAACAACTGGAAGAAAGAGAAAAACGAGAGTAAAGGGTTATTGCAACATGTGTTTGTGGTAACAAAAAGCTCATTTATGTTCTGGATGATCTACAAAAATCACATGAGCAGAGATGCTGGAAATTAGAAGGAGAAAGACCAACAATAAAAAGACAGGTGCAGAGACAGAGAGGAAACCGGATGGGAGGAAATAAAAAGGCAGGAAGGCGACAGCTTAAAAAGTCTGACAAGGGAAGACAGATGAAATGAGAGCCAAAGGTGGAGCTAGGGAGAGCAGCGGGAATGAGGGGAAAAAGAAGGGGAAGAAAAGAGAAAGGGGAGCAGGAGCGAAACTGCGTCCGGCTTCCTGATGAGGCCCATATTTAATCAGCACTGTCTTTGCTTGCCCAACAATCACAGGAAATTAGCTGGATTAGACACACACTGAGGCTGAATGGTGCTGCTAATTTTGGCCCCGAGTCTCTCCCGCTGTCCTAACCCACCCCGTGATTTCCTGAGAGGTGTTTCCTTTAGAGAAAGATTGACACAAAAAAAAGACAAGAGAGCGGCAGCCTCTATTCTGCTTCTCATGACAGGATATCCCCTCTGTCTGTCTGTGTTTCTGCCTCATCTGATTCCGGGCACTATATTATTCCTCTCTTTAAAATGTCCTCCTACCGTATTCCTACATCTTTAGCGCTTTCTTTAAATAGCCCACCTTCTCTGCTTCTCTTCTATCGTCTCTACTTCATGCACTTATCTTTTTTTTTCTGGCAGCCAGTAACTCACCTCTCCTCCATTGATGTAGTCCAAGATGAAGTAGAGTTTGTCCGCTGTTTGGAAAGAGTAGTGCAGGCCCACCAAGAACGGGTGCTTGACATTCTTTAGCAGCACATTCCTCTCTGACATGATGTGTTTCTCCTGAGGAATACAAAGAGCAGGGGGTTAGAGAGGTTCACCTTTTGTTGTGTGGGTTTCTTTCCAGTTGAAGGCATGGCTGCAGGTGCATTTACCTCCTTCTTCTTGAGGATGGCCTTTTTCTGTAAGACTTTGACTGCGTAAAATTGGTCATCTGTGCGATGGCGTGCGAGCAGGACCTTGCCGAAGCTGCCCTTGCCGATCACCTTGAGGAAGTGGAAGTCACTGGGTTTCGCCGAAGGGTTGGAGGATGGACCGAGGTTGATCTGTTGGGATGGACTAGGCTGTAAGGAAGAAAAGGATAAGGAAGTTAGAGCCATAATATAAATCCCAAAATGTAAATACAAACAGAGGGTTTGTATGTGTGTGTATGCGTGCATCTGCACATGTTGGAATGTAAACAAAGGAAGCAAATGTACTTACAGGGGGAGAGGGGTTTGTGTTCATGAGCTCAGCATCCTGAGGAGGACTCAAGTTCAGAATGGACTGAACTTCAGGACTGAAAAAACAAAGAGTTCAAACTTAGCATCAAAAGTATCCTAAATTGGTTTTATGTTAATCAGCTGATCTGGGAGTCACATTAAGTCACAAAGCTTCCTCAGAGGACAAGATAAGGAAATTCTGGTTGCATTTCTTGTGTTTCCAAATGTTTTGTCCCCCGGTGAAAGCCAAACAGTAACAAAAGTCAGATGTTACTCACTGCTTGCAGGCGTAGGAGTTTGTGGCAAGCCTCTGAATGAAGTCGTTCAGACCCATCCTCCTCTGTTTCATAAAAGCTGCAACACAAGAGAGAAAAACAGAAAAAAAAATGTTAAGATTTTTTAACAAAAAGCAAAAACATATCCAACCATGTCATGAAGAATCCGCTTAAAATATCCAGTTGTGATTTCATACCGGTGACTAACGCCACTAGGCCTCTCGATTTCGAGTAGGTCAGGGCCGGCTTTTCTGTCTCTGTTTTCACCGTCATGATGTGATGAGTTCAACAGCAGTTCTTGCACTCATCAAGTGCCCAAAGGTGAAAGAGACTCTAGTTTTATAACAGAGCCGAGGAGGGAGGAGCTGAAGCACACACCCACACCCCCTGGTGGGCGTGATCCTCTGCAAACATTTCTTTCTGCGTAATGGACCAATCAGAGGCCGTTGTGATCTCAGCACGTCAGAGGGAGGAAAACAAAAAAAAAAGGAGGGCGGGGGGCGCACCTTCACCACCACGCACTGAGAGGCCGGTCTATACTATTTGCACATATGTTTGTGCAACACCATAGCAACTTTGCTGAACATCCCATGTGTCACAAAGTCTGGAACTGTCACCTAGACAGCAAAATTTCACTCTACGCAAAACTGCAAAAACAAATTTGGCATCTAAATGTGTCCACTAAGTAACACGTGTTGCCCCTTTATGTTCCAGGAGAACAGAATAAACTGCTCATTGTGCAAATAACAGAACATGAAGTGAAGCAGCTGATGATAGCTCTTGAGATTCGGGATTGTTCTCCAAACTCCTGATTATGTTTGTAACACTGTATGCGTGTTCCCTGTCTAACCGCAACTTGATCCTGTACAAATAACCAGATACCCTCTTAACTAGGCCTATCAGCTTCACTGTTTGGCCGCCTCTCAATTAAACAGACCGGGAGTGACGCAGGTTCCCTGGGTGCACAAAAGACAAGAGGGGAGAGCCCGAGCCGGGGGAGGCTCAGGCCCGATGCCAAGAAAAGTCGCTGGTGGAAAAGTACAGACTGAGAGAAACTCCTACAACCAGCTCAAACGAAATAAAAAAAGAGAGATCAGACCCACAATCTGTTTAAACATACCGGGAGGCCTCCAAAACACTTCAATGTGGTGAGCAGAGTGAAATTATGTGAAAAAATGAGCTGGCCCACTAAGGACCAGACAGACTCAGTTATGTAAGGCACCTGGATCAGGTTTTGTCTACACCCCTGAGTGCAATGTGTAAGACTATAGGCCTATAACCTATGATGAGGGCCAAGCCCATTTTACAAGGATACTGACCCATGTGCATAAAGTAGGCTGAGTAAGACGACAGACATAAAAACAATCAAATTTAAGTAATTGGTGCTGCACAATTACTGAAACAATTTATTGAAAAGAGCACCGTGGGAACAATGTAAGTAATGGACTGTAACACAAGTGCAAGCCATTTACAAAATCCTGCGTAAAAACGCGCACCCGGTATAATTTCACAGGTTCTGCCCGATCTTCAGAAAAAATCCCTCTTCCATAAAGAACAAACAAACCTTTCAGATCGGAAGGAGGTCTCGTTTTACGGTCTGTAGTGCCAGGGTTCAACAAGTTGCACAAGAGAGTTGCCAAGGTTTCTCTGGCACTTTTAGCAGAGCCCCTAACAGCGAGGCATTTCCATAGATAGCAGCACCATAAATCCAGGTCACTGGATTATGGGGTGAGTGCAGCGCCCCCCAAGTATGTCTGCCAGTGCTTTTTTCCCCCAACCACAGACACACCAGACACAGAAAGTCGGCTTGGAGCTTAAGCTTTAGCCTTCCAAATAGAAACTATAAATAGCCTATCACTGTCAGTTGGTAACCGCAGAAATACAGTTAAGTTCCTAAATAAGATTATTATCGATCGAAGATTTCCTACAATAGTTTTATAAATACAGGACTATTATAAAGACAAAACCCAGCGCTGGTGCTTTCAAATGAATATGCAGCCTACTTACACGTCAAAGCGGTCGTTTTGTCTTTCATAAGGATGCTTTATTTCACGAATCACAACAAGAAGAGAGACGCTTTAAGCTCCTCGTCAGGCAGGTAATGGAAATACACCGCACTCCTCTTCTTGGAGACTTTCATCCAGAAGATCTTTTCTCATTTCTTCTCAGGGCGGAGACGTCCCGCCTCTATTTCCTTCCCCTCTACAGTTTGGCTCTCCAATAAGGTCGTATGGTTGCATGAGTTTTCCTCAGGGCGGGGGATATACTCCCTGCAAAGGCTCCTCATAAGCTCCTACTTTTTGAGTTCATTGAAAATACAGACCTGACTTTTTATTTAATTATAAAATGAACAGAAGTAACAGATAATACTGTAATGTGTTTATTCATTTATTCCTGTAAGTACTCTCCACTGCAGGTATAAAGACATGAAACTGATGGATATTTGAGCCAAGTATTTGTTTTATGTTTTATTTCATAATGGCAATGAACTTGCTCAACATCACATGGCAAGCGCTGGCATATAGTTAAAGGCTAAACAAAAACATTTGGTTTACTTAAATCACCTCTCAGTTTCATCTTCAGTTATTTTCCAGGACAGCCTGCTAGCTGAGGTCATTCACCTGCTGAGCTCAGAATTAAAAAGTAACTCGGATTTGGAAATTTCACTGAGTTCACATTAATTCAAAAGTGGGAGCTGCCAAGACGTTTGGGCCACATTAATTAACAGTGTCTCTTGAAGAATGGCTCTCCCTGCTATTTTGTGCATGCACATATACTCGGGCATTTTCTCAGAATAATGTTGTGCAGATTTTCTGAGAGTAGAGAACAGAGGAAACACTTGAGAGGAAACGCAGATGATAGGATACAAGTGGCAAAGCACTGGACATGTGGGCAGGTGAGGCGATGCGGTAAGGAACACATCATGGAAATGTGAATCACACAAAGCATAAACAGAGGTGAGAACCTGATGATGATGAGATGAACATCTTTTAACGAAACACAATGTTTTTTACTAAAGCCATTTTAAACTTTTATGCAGAAACGCCTTGATCTCTCACATAATTACACATTTTCACGCCAGCTACACTGGAGCAGTTGGAAGGTTTGGGATTTTGCTCAAGGGAACCACAGCTATGGTAATGAGGGAGGGGCAAGCAGTGCTCTTTCCCTTTCCCCTCCCAGATTTATCCTGCCTGTCCTGGATTCAAACCAGAAACCTTCCAGTCATAAAGCAACACTGAGAGTAATTGTTGTTAGACTGTAAAAATGCAGACCCAAAGAATTTGGCTGGATATTTGTGTGTGTGTGTGTGCACAAGAGAGAAAGTGTGTGTTCTTCTGCTCCTGACCACCCTCCTCTCTCAGAAAAAGTTTGCAGTTTTTAAATATAGCCTAAACTTTTTTTAACTGCTGTCTCTGTCTCTCCTTTAACTCGGGTCAAATCTATTATTAATCTGTCCCCCGTTGCCACCTGATGCACACACACGCAGAGCTAGAGGGCATAACAAACCTGCAGGGAGTCTGACAGCACACACACAAACACACACACATTAAAACAGAGAGAGAGAGAGAAAGGACACATCAGGTGCTTCCTAAATTCCCTCAAGGTGTCCAACACAACGCTCCCTCCCTGCACCACTCAGAACTTAACGTGTTTGTTAGAAAAAGATATTTCTCCTTGAGACAGCACAGGCTGCAGCACCGTCATCTTTCAAGAGGCATTTAATCTACAATATCCCAGAAACAGTCAAAGAGGGACACAAACCCACTTCAGCACTTGAAAGCATCTCGCGCCAAACCCATCAAGAGATTGATTTTAAACATCCAGATAGTATGTAAAAGTAAAACACGCTCACAGGAGAGGATTAAAAATTGCGATGAAGAAGACGTTACCTCAGAAGGGTTGTAAGCGCTGCGCTTGCGTCTGCATCTGTGGTCATAGCCCAGAGTTGGATACAGTGAGAGAGAGGTGTTGAGCGAGGATCAGGAGAAAGAGGACGAAAGAGAGGGGGCAATACTAACAATAGGTCCACTCAGTGTTTTTCCTATCTGGCCCTCTTTCCCTTCTGGATTAACAGGCTGCTTGCGTTTGGGCCCTGAACAAGAGGAGGCTCCACAATACTCAAGCTGTGTTTATTGCCTTTCTATGTGTGTGTGTGTGTGTGTGTGTGTGTGCGCGTGTGCGTGTGTGCAACACTAATATGTTATGTAACCGACTAGTGGCACACACACACACACACACTTTGAAGGCCATTTCGTGAAAGGACAGGAAGGGGTTCACTGCAGTGCCTGAAGGGATGAGGTGGCAGGATATTAGAGTTGCAGTATAAACACATACAAATACACACACGCTCCCTCAGCCCACCCACCTACAGTGTACTGACACATACACAAAGACCAGCATATGCCCATATTCACGCTGTCTCCGGCAGATGACATCCATCCATTAAATCCGTTCATCTCTTTCATTGTCCCATGCCTCCATCTTGTAATGTCCGTGTTCTGTGCCGGGGAAGATGAGGGTGTTTGTGGCCACAGATGATCTGGTGATGAATGTGAATGAGGCTTGGTGGTGAGGAACCAAATGACACCGTTACATAAAGGCCCCGGCTATTCAGAGAGGACAGCCAGGCTTTTATTTTGCCAGTGGGCACGGTGGATTGTCAGTGTGTGTGTGTCTGTGTGTGTGTGGAGTGTCTGGCTATCTAGGCTAGCCTACTTTTGCCTTCAGTTACCTGCGTAGACGGTCATGTGATCATCATCATAGTGGACAATTTAGACTTAGTCTGTTAGAGATGTCTGCTGGTCACTTATTTTTGTAGATCCCAGAATTTCATAATAATTTCCTTAAAAAATAAACTGATTTGAACTTCAGTATTTATTAATATCAAGTCATCGGATATATATATTGAAATTACTAATCCATAAAATGAAGGTTGAACTGTTTTAGAACTTCTGTTTTAAGGAACTCTTTGGGGTTGTCAACATAAAATGTGAGCACATTCAAAAGTATTTTTGGGGGCCTTGTATGCCTTTTTTAGACAGTGACAGTAGAGCAGAGAAAATACAGGAAATGAGGGGAGAAAAAGATGGGGAATGAAATCCAACAAGTCAGGAAAGTTAGAGCGTTGCAGTCTATGGTCGGCGCCTTATAGGGTAATTTTGGTATTTTTAAATCTGGGCCTTACTTTCACATATTTTGGGGTCAAAATGACTAGCACTTTCTGTGGATGTAATTTTGACAGATGCAATTGCTGCAAAAGGAATACGCTGCAGCCAATGCAACCGGCTCGCGACTGCCGGCTGAAGCCATCTACTGTGCGGATTCCAAAACTTTTAGTACACAGTCATTTGAACATCAAAATGTGTGAAAATAGGACCCAAGTTTAAAACTATCAAAATTATCTTTAAACCCTAGGCCATCGCAACACCCAAAAAGTTACAACAGTTTTGCAAAGGGAAGACATTTTGGTTAACTGATGGGCCACATGAGGGCTCTGATTTGGTTTCTGGATTAAGGCTAGAATTAGGTTGAGGTTGTGATGGTCAAACGTAGGTTTAGGGAACAGGATGTGCAGTACACACAGCCATGTATGGCACTTCCACTGTAAATCCTTAGGATATAGGTCCAACAAACAAGTTCAGACACTTTTCTCAAAACTATCTGGTTTGGGAGTGCCGTTATTGTGAATATGTGTGTGTCTGTGTGCAGGTGTGTATGTTTGCCTGTTTATCTCTAAAGGACAGGTTGACACAGGTGAGCAATGCGTAGTGAATGGTGGGAGAAAAGAGAAAATAACAGCTTCAGAAAGTGAACTGCAATGTTGATATTATTTTGCACCACTGAGAGTTAGGTTGAAGATCACACACACACAGGCTTTGTAATCACACGTTATATAAACCTGTTGGCATCTCAGGAAGATACTATAAGTCGGTGGGTAAATGCTGATTTACTGCATTGCAGCAAGTTGATGAACATACTAATGTGTTTTAATAAGGGTGTCCTCAGCAGATGTTACATGAGAAGAGGAGTGAAAGAACACCGGCAGGGTTTATTCCTCGGTAAAATTAGACGGTCAGATCTCTACTTCCTGTAATTATTAGTACTGGATCCATCCCTCACTCTCCATCATTGCCCTCTACTGCTCCCTCTGTCACACACTGCATCACTGTAAATGACTCAAGTGTGACAGACTTCAACTTTTAAGTGCTTCTAAAGCCACTAATTGCTGAACTTGGAACAACAGGGTGTACTAGCATCACGGCCGAGGCCACAGGAACAGCTTGTCACCAGCTTGGCTAATTGCTTGGATTTCTCTCCATATGCCGAAAACTCCCATAATTAACAGGCAGACTAGTCCCAGTGAAAAACATTTTCATCAGAATATGATGCTTGTCACATTATCTTCTTGGAGAGAGTATTTCCATTTCATGCTCTTTCATTCTTACACTTGATACACGTGTATTTACTATTAACTAGTAGATACTTTACAGATAAAGGCTTTCCATACAAAACACACGATGAGTTCATAAAATATGCTACTTACACATTAATGTATTGATAATAATGAATTATAAATATTTTTGTATTTGACAATTTAAAGCTGGGGTTGGAAAATTGTTTCAGAAGCTTTTTTCAGTTTATTTGTTGAAATTTTCTTCACATCCCCATTGCAATCAGTAAATCAAATTCTCTGACACAAAATCTTTCCGGTATTTGTGGCTGTTGCAGGACTATAATAAGCACTCTGCCCATGCACTCACTGCACATGAACATGTGTTTTGGGGGAGTGGCTTTGGAGGGAAGCCTGAAGGGAGGGAGTGGGATTTTCTTTTGGTTGGATTTAAAATCTAGCTATCTCTTGCTAGTTCTCCAACAGAGTTTGATCATCAGTGCAAAGTGAAATAAAATATAAAATAAAAATTATGTACTGGTGTGAGCTTGAAACACACACATGAACACTCTCAAGAGAATAGCTCCTGCCTCAGCACATGCAAGATTCCCAGTAAAGGTAAAGGTAACAATAAAAAAGGGAATAGATAGGCCTAGGCTTTCTGCCAAAATGTCACACACACACATATTGTGAACTTTGGAACGGACTATGAATTGTGGCAGGACTAAAGGGCATGATGGAAAATTAAATGACAGTTACTCGTAGTCATATTGTCAATAAACTGATGCTGGACACGCATGTAAGCAATAAGCACAGAAAAATACACAGATATTTCTGCTGCAGCAAGTGGCAAAAGTTGTAAACAGGTCACTGTGTCATGTGTACGATGATCAGCACTCAGTAATCGGTCTACTGTTTTGGGTTCCAAGCTGGCTTCCACAAAACAGCAAAATAGTAATTTTGGTTTATGAACAACAGTTATTATCCTGAGAGCTTAGAGGTTGGATTAGCTAGCCAAGTGGTAAGGCAAGGTAAAGTCACAAAGCGTGTGTGTGTGTGTGTGTGTGTGTGTGTGTGTGTGTGCAGGCTGAATCATTTTGCTCCCAGAGCCATCAGGTTTGGACGGGGAAAGGAAACAAGAGTAAAACAGACAGAGAGTGAATGGTATAAGATCATTTTTGAATTTATGGTGAAAGAAAAACAAAACAGCAGATAATAAAGAGAAATGACCCAGGACTGATGAGAGGGATGATGGAGAAAGATAACAGAGGAACGAGCGTTTGTGCTCTGGAGTCACAGTGTGAAAGACAGATGGGGAAAGAAGGAGAGGCTGGAGGAAGCAGAAGAAAACAAAATAAAAGGCTAAGTTGCTGGTACTTACTGTTGTCGCCAGGGCAACAGTAGCTGTCTGGGTCTGACTCATTGTGGTAGTACAGGTCCATCGCCTGGGGGAGAAATATGGCATTACTTAGTAAGAACAGGTTGAATACTTATACAACAAAGACATGCAAATGAAAAGAACATTAAGTGTAAAAGACTTGTTCATGACCCTGTTTCTGTTGGTTCCCCTGCATGACGTGTTTTAATGAGGCTGGGTTTCCGGGGTGAGACTGTATTAAATCACTCGTGTCCTGTGGTGAAAGTGGTGCGAAGCCTCCGCTCCAACAACATGGCAGAGCATTATTGTTCTTTAGTGAGACTGGATGCCACAATGAAGCTGATCTTACTCAACATCTGCTCTGTTGACATTATAATGTGCTTATCCACACATTCTGTCCAGTAGGAAACTGCTACTAAAATTTAAAAAGTAAAAGTACTCATTCTGTAAAAAAATGTCCCTATTATTATTGTGGTTTCCAACATAAACAACACAAATTTCAACCATCTGAGAGCTATAGGGGGGAAATGTCTCTTTGGTGGAACTGCTAACAATGTATAGACAAGTGACCCCGACTAAACAATGTGTTTTTGTAAGATGCCACAAGCTATGAAGGTTGGGAGCCACTGGTTTAATGTTCAGCAAGGCATTTAATTTAATATGCTTTTCATATGTTGTTTAATGTAAAACCGCAATCTGAAATGTAACTCAAGCTGTCAAATAAATGTAATATTTTCCTCTGACATGTGGAGTAGAAGTTTAAAGTTCCACAAAATGGAAATACCCATGTAAAGTACAAGTACCTCAAAATGTTTTGTTGTTACTTTCCACCACTGCATGTGAAGTGGGGTTAATGTGTTTGTGTGTGTGTTGATCTTTGACTCACCGCATTTGATTATGAAAGTCAATGCATTGCTGGCATGGCGAACAGTTCAGAAATGCGCAAGTAAACACTCGTGAATGTGCACAAACGTACACATACACAACGGTCTCAATAGCAGCTGCTCAAGACTGTCCTACTTTTTCTGTCCACATACAGTAACAGTATAGGCCTATTTGGCAGCTGTCACAGGGCCAGCAGCATCCTCGTCTCAGGACGTTCCCATGAAATTGCACTGTTGTGTCAGATATTCGTTTTCGCCGTCTCTGTCAGTCATTGACTTTTCAAGTGTTTCTGTTAAATACAGTCTTAGCCTAGTTTGCTATTCCATGCTGCAGCTCAGAAAACCTATTGCAGCTCTCAGTATTCTCCCATGGGTGTTTTCTGAGAACGAGACAAGCTGAGACTTGTGTGTGTATGTGTATGAGAGAGAGAGTTGTTTCAATCTCATCAGTTTTTTTATTCATTCAGAGGCGACGCTTCTGCCTATCATGCTGGTCATTTCATCTATACATAACAGATGACATTCTCTGTCAGCAGCCTTGTCTAGCCATCGCTTCCTCTCTATTTTGCTCTCATACACACACACACACACACACACACACACATATGGAGTATATCCACATGTTGCTTGCTGTTCATATCCTCTTATACTGTCAACATCTCTCTGCAGTCAACAATCACTTTACCATTCACGCCCCTTTGTCTCTTCTCCTTGGGCTCTTTCTCTCTTTTTCTTGGGGTTGTTTATTGAGTCAGCACAGAGATCTGATGGAGTTGTATCCATAGTGACGGTGAATCTAGACTTTCTGCTCATTAATATTTCATTGCAGATTTATGTTCCCAAAAGATGACAGAAAGTTTGGGTTGTTCATGCAGAGGCAAAGGCAGAAAGAGGGAGAAATTGTTTTTGTCTGTGTAAGGGTCAAGGAGAGGTGGAGGCTTGTATGAAATAACTGTGAGTCATAAGATAAAACAACATTTAACAGTAAAAGGGCTTGAGATGGTTTGCTTTTTACCATCAAAGAACTGAGTTAGTTTGCAAATGAAAAGAAGGAGAAACTAGGAACCATATTTATTAATTCCTATTTTAAAATTTTGATTTACTGAAGTTTCCCACACTGATAACAAACATATAACACTTTTTTATATTGTATGTTGCCATTGAAATCCATTTGAACACTTGATTTCTTATTTTGTGACTTAAGAACTTTTTCTCTCAGTCTGGATTTTGTCAGTTTTGTTCAGTAGGAGTGCAGAAAAGGTGTAAATCAACTCTTTGGTTGCACACAGACAAATATGAAATGGTATTATCTTGTAATACTGTTAGTTTGTTGTTGCAATAGTTCTTCAAAATCTGGATGCCACATTAATGCCTAAATGAAAAAGGTCTATGCATAGAGTTGCATCCTCCGAAATCATGACAAGTTATGCTGCACACAAACTGAGGAAGATAAACTGAAATTAAAAGTTAGTTAACTTTTAGTGCCTAGTTTACTTTTACTTTATTTTTTACTTTATTGCCAAGTAGTGTTTTACACATACAAGGAAATTGCTTTGGTGAAAAGGTGCTACACGTAGACAAACAAACAGTTGACATAAATAAATGTAGAAATATATAAATATGGAATTAACAAATGCAAGTTATATACAACAGAAGAAAATATTGTGTACATAAATTATAAATTGACAAAATATAAGAATATAAAACAACAATTAACAACAAATGTGTGCAATGTGCCAGGTTTGTGCATGATATGAAATGAAGTAATATTTAGACGTTTGACATTTGTATTATTTGAAAGGGAGAGTGTCAGTGGGCGACCTGGGTCTTGTTAATGAGACTAGCTGCAGACGGGTAGAAGCTGTTTTTATGGCGAGAGGTGGCGCAGCCTCTTGTCAGAGGGGAGAGTCTGAAACAGTTTGTGTCCGGGGTGGGAGGGGTCACCTACGATCTTTCCTGCTCGCGTTCGAGTCCTGGAGGCGTACAGTTCCTGAAGTGATGGAAGATTGCAGCCAATCACCTTCTCTGCAGAGCGAATGATACGCTGCAGCCTGCCTTTGTCCCTGGCAGTGGCAGCAGTGTACCAGATGGTGTTGGAGGAGGTGAGGGTGGACTCAATGATGGCGGTGTAGAAGTGCACCATCATTGTCTTTGGCAGGCTGAACTTCTTCAACTGCCGCAGGAAGTACATCCTCCTGGGAGATGATGGTGCTCAGGAAGGGGGAGGAGTCCACTGTGGCGACTGGGGAGTCACGCAGGTGATGATGATGGGGGAGGGTGGGGCTGGGCTCTTTCTGAAGTCCACAACCATCTCCACTGTCTTCAGAGCGTTGAGCTCCAGACTGTTCTGGCTGCACCAGGTCAGTAGATGGTCAAAAATCACACCTGTTGGCGGACTCATCCCCACCAGAGATGACCCCAATGAGGGTGGTGTTTCTGGCCTACCTTCATGGGAGTGTTTCCAGTACTAACTAATTTACTTTTGAATTTACTAAGTACTTGTCTTAAAGACTTCCTCGAAGAAGTATTTTCATTTTTTAGTCAACCCCCAGTAGAGTAAAACCAGTCTTTTATTGTACATTGCTAACATCTATTGTATAATATAATAAAGAGGTTACTATTTAATAATGTTAATTATCTGGGGAATTCCTGAAATCCCCCATCAAGTACACCTGGAAGTCCCCTTCTGTGGGAATAAATTATTGTTTGCTACCTGTAATTTAATCAGCTGTAGGCAGAATGAACTTGCCTGTGTGCGTTGACGTGGCTGCCACGTTTCCTCCAGGGTGTAGCTGATGTAGGGCCCACTGCAGATGGAGCACTCCAGCATGACAGGGCTGGCCAGGAGGGGTGAGGCGTGGATCCCCCAGGACTGACAACCCCCCTGGTGCACGTCTGACTCTGCATCCTTCTGCTTGCCTGTGCCGTCGCCATGATGGCGAGCAAGCATCTTCCACTTCCTGACCTGTAAGTGAGGATAAATTACGTTTTTCATTTGACCAGTAAAGTTTAAAACCAAATACTTTACATTTAATAAGCCTCAGCCTCTTTGAGAAAGGCTCACTTGGTTATCTGCAGCATTTAAACAGACTAACGTGTAATCACTCCCCTGAGCTTCCTAACCATGTGAGTCTTACTTTCAACCCAAACACAAGTGACTAATAGGGATTAGATGGAATTTAGTGACCTACGCATACTGTTTAGTTGGTTTAATACCACATCCTTCCAAACAAATAAATTTGAATAACCAACATTAATCATCTACTTAAAAACAGTACATGCCATTGGGATCTTTTCTTGATTTATGGAGCATCTCTGTCCAGTTAAAAAAAAGTGCAGCTCCAAATTTAATGATTTTGAATTTTACAGATAAACTTTCTCCTACTTCTTGTTTCAACTTGTCCCAAAGCTGATAATAGGTCTGTTTGTTCTTATCTCATGAAAAGCCAATTGTGGTTAATTTGTGCTGGAGCTAGCCAGAGCGCTGCTTTGGTACCTCTGAGTTTAAGCCTTTTGCGCTCCGGCACCTCTAAAGTGCACTTCGTCACTGCACTGCCCTTCTACACAAATAATATCCAAGATTTCATCCAGTCTAATAGGGTGAGTCTAATGGATTTCCTTATTTACTATTTGATTTGGTAGCTAATCATGGTTTCTGTTCGCCCTTTATCACAATGTGCAGGTATGCCATGGGTTTTTAATTGATTATTAGTTCATACAATTTTTATTAATTATTTTCGGCAGGCGGCACATTTCACGCACTCTGGCACCTAATAATTTACAAATTAAGCACTGGGAAAAACCCTATTCTTGAGTTTATCAACTTAACAGTTTCTAATCTAGCAGTGGATTTTACATTCCAATACACATCACACATCACAATTTATTTGGAGACAGCCTTTCTCGTGTCTTTCCCTTTTAGTTCTGAACATGAAAGTAAACTACAAGCTGCAGGACTAAAAGACATGTTTTAACCTGTTTAGTATCACTGATACAGGTATTATTTTAAGAACAATCATTTGAAGTCATGCTGAGTACAATAAAGCTTTTTTTATAGAGTGACATAGATTATTTTAATCATAGTCACTAATGAACCAACGCAATATATCAAGATAACCCTAACCTTAAAGATATGGAGCATACTTATATAAGGGTCATTATAATCCTTCAAAAAAGTCTAATGTCACATAAAGCAGTCAGCACCATCACTTTATAAGGAAAATGTGAGTTAGTGAGATTGAGTTAGTCTGTCAATTTTCCCCGTAATCTCCTCAGCTGCACAGTGACACTGAGGACTTTTCACCTCAACTCAATCATCATTTAGCATGTGATTGGTAACACTGACTGAATAGATATCATAGGAATAAAACACAAATACCCTTCAAGCACACACACACACACACACACAGGAAAGAGAAGGTGTGGAAGATAAATACAAGCCATATGGGACCATGGAGGGTAAGGTCAAGGTGCACATAGTTCTTGAGGAAACCAAATTGCATAGATGGATGTGTCAATGACCCAGAATGGCTGTTATGTAAGTTAAATTGTGTCCACTGAGTGGAAAGGTTCAGTGATTGCAGCCAATTCAAATGAGTCTTATTAAGGCCTCTGCTGGCCTCTACATTACTACTACTTGGCAGGAGGAAATATGAGTGAGTGAGACTGCGTGTGTGTGCGTGGGTGATTATGTGCTGGACTATTTCCTGGTTGTGAGCAGTTGTCAGCACATGTTAATAGATGGCACTATTTAAGACTCTAGGAAGTTACTTGTTCCAGCGAAAATATAGTTCATGCACAACCCCCCCCTCATAAAACAGTAAATTGTAATTTTGATTCTTTGGTTATTGTATGGATTAAACAAAAAACATATAACATGTTAATCAGCAAGCTACAGAGGTGCCGCTTGGTGGATTTTGTTACCTTTGTACAGAGCCAGGCCTGCTCTTTCTCTCTGTTTTAAGTGTTTGTGCTAAGCTAAGCTAACCAGCTGTTGGCTGCAGCTTCATATTTAACGGACAGATATGAGGGTGGTATCAATTTCTTATCCAACTCTCCCAAAATGTGGAACTATTCCTTTAATCTATATCACTACCCAGTGGACAAAAATAATAGCTTTTGTTGTCAAATTACTGTGCAAACATCAACATTTTTATTTATTTAAATGAACCTTCATTTAACCATTAAAAGCAAGATGTTTACGGCTAGAACCAGCAATTGCAACTTCAAGATAATGATGAAAACAACTTTTAAAAGTGTTATCCAAGTGTTATCCTAAAATATTATTTGATTGCTATAGTTCTAGCTTAATGGATTTCAGTTTTTCAATCTTCCCCTTGTTTATGTCTTTTGAATTTACATGGATATATTTTTCACATCTTGCAATACTAATAATCTTTCTTTATCTCAAAATTGTGTGTATGCATATCTAAAGTACGTATGTATTTACATATTTAGTGGCAACTACAAATGTCTCTGTGTGGGTCATAAACATTGTTTCACTAGGCAACATTTCATCATAGTTATGTATGTACGGACCATAAACTGCTATTTATTAGACTGAACTGTGTTAATCATGCAAATTATCCTTTATTGTATGGCCTCTTGCTGAAGCTTGTTCCAGAGAAAGTGCCATGTATTCCTTCAGTGGGTGAAAATATGTGTGCACAGGAAGCAAACACACACACACACACACACACACAAACACACACACACACACACACACACACACACTCATTCCATTTCCATACTCTCCTTCCCCTCACCCCTGCCCTTTGACCTGGTTTTCTGCTGCACCAACAGTGATATTAGTAAGGTTACATAAGGCCTCTCCTTTAAGATCTGTCCTTTCACCTCATAAACTCAGGATGTAATATAGACCAGGGAAATTCACATACTAAGAAGGCCAGGATGTACACACATCAGCCACAAAGTCCCATAAATCAAGGAATAAAAACATCACATTCATAATATCTAGACTCCATTAGTCCCCTTTGCTCTGCTGCCTCCTTACTAACCTGTTTAAAGGCCCGTTGCCTGTTTAATAAACATAATCTTTGAAAAACAGAGTATCAGCCATTGACAAAGTTATTTAAAACCTTTAATGGATTTGTCCTTTACTCATATACATTATATCTAGCCATAAAATGCAGTACTGTATGATAAACATTGAGTAGACTGCAAACACACATAACAAACATGTGCACAACAAATGTGGGAAATTTCTGCATAAAGTCCCTTCATACAGGGGTAAACCAAATAACAGAAACACATCAGAGTGCAATACAGTAGCCCTGCAGTAAGTAGATGAAGCTTATAATATTCAGTTTTTGTGGAGACTGTCAGAGGTGTTGATTTATCTTGATGGTCATTTTTAGGGCCAGAGTTGTAAGTGCAAATATTGTTAAAGGGGTACTCAACTGAATTTACACATGGATTTCAGTTTGCTTGTTACAAAAAGCATTGCTCAGTCTATGACAAAATATGTATAATGCCTTCTGTGGTTGCCGGAGGAGCTGTCTAATGTTTGAAAAAATGGCAATGTCATCAGGCTTATCTCTTCTTGTGCATGAGACCTCTTATTTTTTTAGCAGAAAGCCAGCCAGCCAACAACAAAAGGTGAATAGAGTTCAGGAAATCTCATTTAACAATACAATCGGACTGAATCTGCCGGTGGCCTATTTGGTTAATCCCTTCAACACCTATGATAATGTCATATCTCTGTCTGTTTGGTAAATTTAATTCACATGTAAATTCAAGAAAGCTTCTCAAAACTATCTTCCTGGATGAGTAGTTCAAAGAGTGCAGTGGAAATAGCCATCTGTCTCAAGGCCCAGATGATAAACAAGTGAGTGAGAGGTTACTTCAACACTAGCATATGCTGTGCAGTACCTGGTAATAATCATTGGACATTAAGCAGCAACAATAGACTGATAAAAGTATACAATATACTAAATAAGAAATTAAACTCAACTGTAACCAAACCAACAGTAAGTTGATACTAAGTCCAAATACATTTAAAAATACTTGTAGATGTACTGTAGTTCCCTTTATAACTTTGATTTATAATCACAAAAATCAAAATTGACATTTGCAGAAACACATAAACAACACCGACAGAGAGGTAGTGTGGTCACAAACAGACCAGCCGTGACTGATAGACATTTAATAGGATATTTGCTGAACCAACAAATCATGACAGTCTCTAAAAAATAAACCAAAAATATGATGGTGATTTGCCTAAGGCCTTTCTACAACACACAGTATAAGGACATTGTTTATTGTGGTGTTATTAGCCTGCCGGTGGTACTCTTTCCTCTAACCCTTTTGGTTTTGTCCTGTCCTCTACCAGCTCCTATTGGTGTGTTACTCTACCTCTAACAGGCTGTGTGATGGCCCACAAATGTCTGAGCATGAAAGAGTAATGACAGAGGGGAGGCAAGAGAGCATCGGTGGGGGGATCATAAAGCAGAAGGAGGGAATGAGGTGCAAGCAGAGATATGAGAAAAAGAAGAATATGTTTGAAAGACAAAAAGATAAACAGAGACAATAAGAGTCTGAGATTGTCTTATATAAGCCGTCCCATTCTCTGTCAGAGATAAGACTTGCTCATTAACACCAAGGTCACTGCTCTTTCTTCTCCCTTTATTGTCCCAGCTTTTGTTCCTAGATCGCAAACAAGTGTCTTAGCATGAATGAGGGAGGGGAGGGGGAGTCAGATCCAAACAAGAGGCAAAGAACTATGACTCAGGCAGTCCAAATGGAATTCAAACGCCAACAGTGTGTCTCGTGGGAGATTAAGCCTCAGAAATACCGTTCAAAGCCAGATAAAGAGAGAGAGAATGTGAGTCAACCTGAAAAACGAGTATCTGAGAAACAAGACAGCAGGACGGAGAGTGTAATGTTATTGTTGGACAGGGAAACGGACCAAGGAGTAAGTTTGGGATTTCAAGACTGGGATATTGA